AGATACTGGGTCGTCGTTCTCGACAGAACACCGCACTAAAATTTTAAACAAGCGGCTGCCTGAGGTCCCGCGCTTGCTGGGGACCTCGGCAGCCTTACTGTTCACATGCGGTGCCATGGCGGTTGGGGGGGGCCCTTTATGGTTTCTTGCACCGGGGCTCTGAAGGTTCTAGTTACGCCTCTGGATAAATCCCATTGTATGATCAAGTAAATTCTTCCACTTCATATTTAATTCTTCAGTGCCATTGCTAGCCCATATGACCAACTGTGCACCGCAAAATGATACCTTATAGCCAGAGGTGGGTGATGGAATAAAGCTGGCTATACACTGCTAAGTTTTTTAAAAGAGCTTTCGCAAGAAAGATCTTTCATTTGACTTTCTATTAGTTGATTAGGTCAAATCGACAATCGATTTTGACCGCAGTGACAAAAACCTCGAAGAAGCAGGATGGAAATTTTCTCTTGAACAAAGATAATTATTAACAGTTATTGTGGTTTTCATTTGTGAAACTCCATTTGTTCGAAAGTCGAATGTTAAAATTAGAGATGCACCGATACTAGTCTCGGTATCGGTGCCAAATGCTCCAATGCTAGCCAGATACCTGAGCTTCCGGTATCAGGAAGCCGGACAGGGGCCATTACCCGCCCCCCGTCTTCCTGATTGGCCAGAAAGCCGGCTTCATGCTTCCTCGCCACCAGGTGACGAGGGAGTATAGAGCGGCTTCCCTGCTAATCGGGAAGCTGGGTGGCAAGTCTTCACACGACGCCCGGCTTCCTGGCTAATCAGGAAGCCAGGTGGCAAGTCATTACACGCCACCTGGCTTCCTTAATGGGGGAGTGGGTATCGGCGAGTACGGAAAAAAACCTTGGTACTTGTACTCGATACAGAAAAACCGGTATCGGTGCATCCCTAGTTAAAATCCTGAAATCTGAAATCTACTAGTGTTTGGCCAGCCTAAGTAGGGAGGCTGATGCCATGGCTGTTAGATGGGGATATATTTATCAGATCACAAATTTTGGGCTTACAAGCACTAGATGGAAAATCATTGCTCATTGCTCCTTCTATCCTAACCAGCCATCCAGTGGCAGCACTAAAATGACAACATCAGTTGGCTAGAGTAATATAAGGCACAGCACACTTTTCTAATGCCATAAAAGCACCATTAGTGTGTTTTCCAGTGTCAACGTCCTTTCCGTTTTCTTGAATGCATCCTCTAAACTTAAAGGCAGCAGGAAATCAAGTTCTACCTCACTACCTGACTATTAACAGCTTCCTGCTTCAATATGTTAGCCCCTAATTTGTTTCATTACTCTGTTCCTCCTTCATCTACAGCAGCAATTATGGCTGTAATGCTGGGAAGGCATTACTTAGGGTGGTAGAAGGAAGCAGTTTTCACAACATGGTCACAGTTGAATGTGACGGAGTGTGTGTATATATCAAATAATGGTACAACTCACAGATGTGAAAAGGCTTACTGGAAAAACAGATGTAGTCAAGGCAACGGGCAATTCTCAATAGAAAAACATAAGCTACCTCACAGACCAAACTAAAAGCAACAGGGCCATTATACAAAGTCATAGAAAAACTTCCAAGGGCCTTGCTCTGTCCTTGGGCTGCTAATCTTTAACAATATGAGGTAAAATGTCTTTGTGTTTACCATGAGGTTAATAAACCCATTAGAGGCTCTAGCAACAGATAATCTACATGGATGAAGAATTTTGAAGAAAAAAGAAATGCTACTTTTTATGGAGCAGAAAGTAGCAAATAGTTGGTGAATAAAGAGGAGCAGCAGGTAGGCCTGTGTCGCATAGGCTTGTAATGAATTGGTGCTGAGTGGCAAAAAATTTGTTTACTGAAGATAACAAGCAGCAGAGCCGAACACAGGTACAGAAGCCTGGAAGTTTCAAACAGGCACTTCTGGAATAACAATGAAAAGGAAAAAAATAAAACAGGTAGTTAACAAGTATTGTCCATGCCACAGGTAAAGATCCACAGCAGTACAATTAATAGTTTTGCTGGCAAATGTTAGATGATAGAATCTAATGAATCACCATCAAAGTACGCGGGTGCCTTGCAGGAGGGTATTTGGGGGCCCTAGTTAAAAAAAATATTTGTACCAGCATCATTATTCTAGGGCCGTTTGAAAGAGAAGAAAAATAACATATGTGCTTTAATAAGTGCTAAACTACCTTAGTTCCCAGGTGGAAGAGCGTATTTTGGTTACTATAATGTTAATGGAAACCAAACTCTCATGACATATTGGTTTACCTTGTCAACTCCTCCTGCAGCCCAGTAAAATTTTACTTGGACAGTGGTGGTTATTTCTGTACCTTTTACCATCTAATCACTGTGTGTGCAGATGTCCATATTCTATCCATCTCAGCTTAGGAGATGGAGGGCCAAACTTTGGCATTCATTTGTGGCACAATGTTCAAGCAATCCATATCTATAAATGAAGACAATACATACTCACCTTTCCAGCTGTCTATGATGCCAAACTCCAGTCTGATGTTGAGAAATCCTACTCTGAAGACTGCATTAAAACCGACACTTTTAGGAGTGGTGATCGCCTGCGTCACCGCAGCTCTCACTAGTTCTTCCTGCTGACCTCCATGTCTCTGGTGTATCCTGTAATGTGTAAATGTCAAAGGGAGGAACAAGGAAGAGCTGCGGGGGACCCAGAAGATCTGGAGCTGCTGACGGTCTGCAAACACTGGATATCACCAGATGCTGGTTCTGCATTTAACATCACGACATAGGAGTTCCTTCTCACATTCCAGCATCAGAATGCCCCACCTACATTCAGGCACAGCTGTCATTGGATTGGAAAGAAAACTATGATCCCCCTAGACAAAGCAAGAAATACACTATATTGCCAAAAGTATTGGGACTGTCCACAAGGTTTAGGAGTGTGTCTATGGGAATGTTTGACCATTCTTCCAGAAGCGCATTTGTCAGGTCAGGTACTGATGTTGGACAAGAAGGCCTGGCTCACAGTCTCCGCTCTAATTCATCCCAGAGGTGTTCTATCGGGTTGAGGTCAGGACTCTATGCAGGCCAGCCAAGTTCCTTAATCCCATACTCGCTCATCCATGTCTTCATGAACCTTGCTTTGTGCACTGGTGCGCAGTCATGTTGGAGCAGGAAGGGGCCATCCCCAAACTGTTCCCACAAAGTTGGGAGCATGAAATTGTCCAAAATGTCTTGGTATGCTGATGCCTGAAGAGTTCCCTTCACTGGAACTAAGGGGCCAAGCCCAACCCCTGAAAACCAAGCCCACACCATACTCCCCCCTCCACCAAACTTTACACTTGGCATAATGCAGTCAGGGAAGTACCGTTCTCCTGGCAACCGCCAAACCCAGACATGTCCATCGGATTGCCAGACAGAGAAGCATGATTTGTCACTCCAGAGAACACGTCTCTACTTCTCTAGAGTCCAGTGGCAGCGTACTTTACACAACTGCATTCGACGCTTTGGATTGCACTTGCTGATGTAAGGCTTAGATGCAGCTGCTTGGCCACACACACTGTTGTTGTGCCAATCTGAAGGCCACATGAAGTTTGGAGGTCTGTAGCTATTGACTCTGCAGACAGTTGACGACTTCTGCGCACTGTACACTTCAGCATGCGCTGACCCCACTCTGTCATTTTACGTGGCCTACCACTTTGTGGCTGAGTTGCTGTTGTTCCCAGTTGCTTCCATTTTGTTATAATACCACCAACAGTTGACCGTGGAATATTTAGTAGCAAGGACATTTCACGGAACACCTAAATCCAATGATTTGGAGGGTAGTGTATATCCTGCATAAGCTGAGGGGTGGGGGGGAGCAATGTTGCACACAGATTAAAATGTTTGCCCAGACTAGAATTAAGATTTAGAATGCACCTACGTCCAGACTATAGACAAGTTACCTTACTTACATATTCTTAACAAGAAGTAGAAGTGTTTTAAAACAAAACATTCCTGACCCCTGTAGCTGCTTGTACTAGCTAGTGCTAGTGTAAACTAATTTGTTCTCAAACATCACAACAAATGATCTTAAGTTGGGTTTCAGTCTATTTTTAACAGAAGTATCACCCACTGGTTGTTTACATTAGATGGCTGGTAGGCTGCCAGGATCTGCTGTTCACATAAAAAGCACACATTAAATGACTTTGTTGTGAATGTTGAAGACAACTTTCTCCACAATGCCTTTAACTAGAGAGGTGAATAAGGGCTTGCTAAAATGCTTTTACTGCTTGTTCGGAATATGTAAACATGTTGGTGTACATAATTTGGGCAGGTTCACTTTAAGTAAAATTGGCAACAGGTGTTCTGTGTGGTAACTACAGCTCTGCCTACTGCCTGATGATGTTAGCATTAGCTTGTGCAGTCAACATCCTGAGCAGGGCGGAACTAACGGCGGGGAAGCCCTTGCGGCCGTCCCAGGGCCCAAGGCCGGGGGGGCCCACTGACAAGGGAGGAGGTGAAGGAGGCCAGGGCTGGGGCCCAGCACCACCGGTCCAGCAGCGGAGGAGGCCGGGCCCAGCAGCACCAGGCCCAGCAGCAATGGTTTGGCTGCGGAGGAGGCCGGGCCACAGCAGCACCGGTATGGTGGCGGCCTCAGGTAGGCTGGTCAGGATCTCAAGTGGGCTCTGCAGGATCTCCGGTGGGCTCTGCGGGGCCTCAGGTGGGTCCAGTGCGTTGCTATGTCCAGAGTCCAGTGCGTTGCTATGTCCAGAGTCTTGTGCCTTGCTGCCCAGCGCATTGCTAAGCCCAAAGTCCATAGTCCGGCGCATTACTATGTCCAGAGTCCAGTGCGTTGCTAAGGCCAGAGTCCAGTGCGTTGCTAAACCCAGAGTCCAGTGCATTGCTATGTCCAAAGTCCAGTGCGTTGCTATGTCCAGAGCCCAGTGTGTTGCTAAGTACAGACTCCGATTCATATACTGTTCTGCATTGCTGTATAATATATTGCTGGGATTTGTAGTCCCCCTACAGCCGGTGTCATTTTCCATTAGAGTGTAAGATCCTCTGTACAGAAACTAATGTGACTGGCTCAGTGTTCTCTGTACAGCAATGCGGTATATGTCTGAGCTGTATAAATGTACAATAATAGTGTGTTACTGTGGGGGGACATTAGAGTGTAAGCTTCCCTGTAGAGAGACTGATGTGATTGGCTCAGTGTTTTCTGTACAGCACGGCGGTATATATCAGAGCTATATAAATGTATAATAATATTGTGTGAGACTGTGGGGGGACTTTGGGGTGTAAGCTCCTCTAGTGCAGAGACCTGTTGGGGAGGGGGGGTTTGGGGGCGAGGGGGATCCGCTCTTGTCCCCCTTTGGGAGGGGGGCGGAGATTAAATCTTGCTCCAGGGCCCTTGATTACTTAGGTGCGCCAGTGATCCTGAGCAGAGGCGGCTCTTTAATTACGCAAATTAGGCGGTCGCCTTAGGCCTCGTGTCCTGGAGGGCCTTGCCCTAATTTGCCCTGTTGGCACATTACCTGGCAGCCAGGTAACGTTATGAGCTCTCAGCCCTGTCGCTGTCAAACTGAGACTCTCAGTTTGACAGCGACAGCTCATCTGTTTCCTCGGTCTTCGGTCCGTGCACTCGGACGGTCTTCTGGAGCTCCGCCCACCAGCCAATCAAAAGAGACCTCACCCCTCCCATTCACCGCACGAGGATCTCAATCTGGCTGGTCCTGCACGCTCCCGCTTGCGAGACGCGGCTGCACGGTCCTGGTGAGAGCCCTGTGGAGAGCCCTGTGGAAAGAGCCTAAAGAGATCCCTGGTTCACCAGCCTGGTTAAAGCCCTGGTGGGTGCTAGTGAGACCCTACAGAACCCAGATGAGACCCTACAGTTTTAACCAGGGCTCTTTGGTTTCTCACCAGGGCTCTTTGGTGTCTCACCAGGGCTCTTTGGTGTCTCACCAGGGCTATGTGGGGTCTCACCAGCCTGGTTAGTCCCCACAGAGCCCTGGTGAGACCCCAAAGAGCCCTTGTGAGACTCCACAGGGCTCTTTGGGGTCTGCCCAGGGCTCTGAGGGGTCTGGCTGGAGAAACCCCACATAGCCCTGGTGAGACCCTACAGAGCCCTGGTGCTGGTGAGACCCTACAGAGCTCTGGTCAGACCCTACAGAGCCCTGGTTTAACCAGGGCTTTGTGGGGTCCCACCAGGGCTCTGTCGGGTCTCACCAGGCTGGTGAGACCCCTCAGAGCCCTGGTGAGACCCCTCAGAGCCCCGGTAAGACCCCTCAGAGCCCTGGTTTATCCGGGGCTCTGCGGGGTCTCACCAGGGCTCTGCGGAGTCTCACCAGGGCCTCACCAGGGCTCTGAGGGGGTCTCATCAGGCTGGTTAGACCTACAGAGCCCTGGTGAGACCCTACAGAGCCCTGGTGAGACCCTACAGAGCCATGGTGCACCAGCCTGATTAAACCCCACAGAGCCATGGTGAGACCTTACAAAGCCCTGGTTTAACAAGGGCCCTGTGGTATCTCACTAGGGCTCTGTGGGGTCTTACCAAGCTGGTGAGACCCCACAGAGTCCTGGTGAGACCCCACAGGCCTGAGTGGTGCCTCATGTTTAGGTTTCGCCTAAGGCCTCGCAAACTCTAGAGCCGCCTCTGATCCTGAGACACCTTGTGCAATGCCCTTGCTCACTGTCAGTATTGCATTTAGCATAGGTCACCCTGTTACACCTGGCAGGAATAGAGAAGTATTTATTACATTTGGACGATGGGCACAGCAAAGCCTCAAATAAGGCTTAGCTATAGTGGGCAGAGCAAATATGACACAGGGAAGGCAGAAGTACACGGAAGAGTTTTTTTTAAATTGCAGTTTTTAAAATAACCTTGGTCTATAATCCAGGAAGAATAGATACCTCTCAAAAGATTACAATTCATGTGCATATAAACTTTTTTTTTAGGTTACCGCCTTAAGGATCATGCATAATACGCTTAATCTGGAGCCATATGTCTAGTACCTGTACCATCTGTACAAAATCCAAAGTGCCTCACGCAGAGCAGACATCTCATAGTCTGACAGATGTACAACACAATCATGACCCTCTGAACATCAAAGTCAATGTCAAAGTGATGCAAGATGATAACACAAATTAAATAAATAAAAATGTGTATATGTTGTATATATATATATATATATAGTCCAGTGGAAGAGGCACTCATGGGTCTTGTAATGAGGCAACATACATGTATGTTCTCCCTGTGCTTGCGTGGGTTTCCTCCCACACTCCAAAGACATGCTGGAAGATTAATTGGCTCCTGTCTAAATCGGCATTGCATATACAGTATGCATGTGAGATATGGACCTAAGATTGTAAGCTCCTTGAGGGCAGGGACTAGTGAATGTGCACTATATAAAGCGCTGTGTAAATTGTCCACAGTATATAAATACCAATAATAAATATACTAATACAAACATTGCACATGCCATTGCATGCTTTCTTAAGCCAAGTCATTACGTTTAAGACAGGATTGATCTTGTGCATAGTATGCTGTGAATCACTGATCCAGCTCTGCCACACTCATTTAGTGCTTGCCCCTAGCACAAGTGCAGTAGTTCTAAGTGCTTACATCCCTAACACAACCTACCAACTATCTCCTAATCAGATCTGTCTGCCTTTAGGCAATTCCTGAAAACTCACCTCTTCAGGGAAGCCTATCCCACCTCCATCTACTCTTTCAATCAGCTCATCCCTCACAATTATTACCTTCTGTATCACTTGTTCCTCCTGGTAGATTGTAAGCTCCAATGACGTGCGTTACCTCTTGCTCCGGGTGAGGCAATCCCCAGCCTCGCCCCCCGCCGGCCGCAGCCCCACCCTCCGCCGGCAGAAGCCACACCCCTGCCATCTGAAGCTCCACCCCTGTCGGCTGAAGTCACGCCCCCCAACCCATCCCCAAGCCAGTGTAAAGGAGGAAGGGAGTAGCCTCCCTGTCCCTCACTTGCTCCTCACTGCTGAGGGCTCTGTCCATGACAGGTTACACAGCGGGGAGGATTTCCCTGATGTGTAACCTGTTAGATGCCGATCTTAATGGAGAAAAAGCTGTCAGCTTCAGACATGCTTTTTCCTCCATAATTCTAGGTGAGGCTCTGCCTCACCTTCCTCCCCTGACCGCAAGTCCCTGGTAAGCTCTCACGAGCCAGGTCCTTCTAATCCTTTTGTATGGTATTGTATTGTCTCCCCATATGTTGTAAAGCACTGCATAAACTGTTGGTGCTATATAAATCCTGTATAATAATAATAATTTATTGATCAGACCAATAAATGTATCTATGTTGTCTCATAACAAGACCCGTGAGTGACACTTCCACTGGACTGTTTGTATCTAATTGCCTTGAGTGCACCTGGGTAGTTTTTACTCTTGTATACTCACCTTCTGTCATTTTCCTTTTCCTGGAACATCTGATGGCAGCACACGATGGGTTACGCTCCGCCCCCATTGTCAAATAGAGAGTCCCAACGCACTCCTGACCGAGAAGCCCCATATATTGTGCGGGGGGGGGGGGGGGGGGTGGGGGG